CAACTGGAGGTGAGAAACTCATCTGTGCAACACCCGAAGAGCTAACTGGCAAGGATTGTTCAACCACCCCTAAGCGTCCAAATTAGACTTCTCTTGAGTATATCTGTGAGCCTTTTCATCTGGAAAACCCTTTCATGTATATGCTCGAGGCTCTCTCTCTCTCTATTAGGTTGGAGGCCATCGCTACTAGGGTGGAGGCCATCGCTAGTTGCATTCTTTCTCTCTCTCTCTCTCTTTCTTCAGTCCTTGCGTGAACTTCTCGCTTTAGTCCTTGCGTCTCTTTCTTCAGTCTTTGCATGGTGTGCTTTACTTCGCCAGCTTTACTCTTGCATTTATGGACGACTCACTGATGGATAGCACCCACCCTTCAGGGTCCAAACGAGATCAGCACTCAGCCCCTCAGCCTGTACAGTTTCCATCTGGTGAGGATCGTGCTGAACTCGTTGCAATTTCCGAGCGACTTTTTTTGAACTACTTAATAGAGATGGCCTCCAACCTACTAGCGATGGCCTGAAGTACCTGTGCATATGCACCCTGATGACCTCTTTCGGTGATTCGAAGGGCTCTTTCAAACCTGAAAGTCTGAGACTGCTCACTTCCAGAAGAGCCACATGTTGGATAACACTGACAGTTATTGGATAAAACTATTTGGTTGGAGGCCATTGCTATTAGGTTTTGGCTTCCTAAGATTCCTAGCTATTGAGGGCGCTTGACCCGGGCCATAGTGCAAATCCTGTCAAGCAACAGCTGTCTTCAAACAAGTCGTGGGAAATTCGCTTGAGGAAATGACACTTTGCAGAAATCATGTTTGATGAAGGTGACACAAAATCATGATTGATGTTCATCTTCGCTCAGGCGGAATGAGAATGGATCTCGAGTCAAACATTGTTCTGTGGCCGAGTGATACCGAGAGTCACCGACCGCCCGATTGGCCATCCAAGCACCCCTCATAAAGAAAAGAAAGTGTCCTGGGTCTTGCTCGAGCCAGGCCAATCTCTTCGGGGTTGCTGTTGCAAACTCAAGGCCGACTAAAACACGAATAAGCATGAAGTGGCATCTGCGCCGGATAGTCCACAACACAAATTGGCACGCGGTTCGCGGCATCAATAAGTCGCCTGGCTGGCGGCCAACCCCTAGTAGCGTCCTTGCTCCTAGTAGTAAGGCCAGGAGCCCCTAGTAGGGTACAGGAATCCAAAGCAAATGAGATGATGGCGTTATTGAAAGAAAGACTGCATGGTAGCGCTGGACCTTGCTAAGTGGTCTGACTAGTCACCAGCCTACTTAATAAGGTTCCTGTCTTCTCAAACGCAGGCACTTTCTGTGAATGCGATCAGAAAACGCAGCTGTTCCGTACATCTGTCCATCCACTACAGCAACAGTAGCAATTGGAGGGGTGGATATTCAAGAACACCCAAAAATGATCAACATCGGTTTACTCGGTTTACTCGAGTATGATTCATGATAGTGTTCTTGTCTGCCTGGTATCTCTACTTGAGCAGCGGTATGTCAGAACAAATTGGCTGCCACGTTCAAGGTTGAAAGGGTGACTCTTGATTTTCCCAAGTCGGAACTCAATTTCCACTTCAAGGTTAGAAGGGACTGCAACCAACACGGCCGAAGACGAAAAATGTGGTTACAGCAAGGAGAGCTGCAAGGCATCGCGCAAACATCTATATCTCGCACGAGGCGACAGCCAGTGCGGCATCGACGTGTGTAGCGTTCGCAGTGCGTCGAGAGACAAGTGCCAGTGGGAAAGCTCTCATGGCCAGCTGCGGGCCAGGGCGGCCAGGTCAATCATCTAACAGCTGATTCAGCTAGCAGTCTAGGTTGACCTAGAAGTTGAACAAAGTAACATGTTGCAATTTCAGCGTCCTACAATACATCATGATCTCTGATGCATGCCTGCCTCACTCCAATTGATATTTGACTGATTGCAAGCAGTCGCACCATGTACAGGTGCTTTCCTACAAAGAGCCTGCTCTAGCTCTTCTGTAGCCCAAGAACTAGTGCAAGCCTCAAATGGCCAAGAAACAACTATTGTTCCACTGGCTTTGATAGTTAACGAGTCCTTCTCAAGCTTGTCTCAAGTTTCCGGGTCAACTGCTGCGCGGTAGGAAGGCGGACAGTGGGAGCCTGGCCAAGAAAGGAATCCACAACTTTACAACGCCAATCACGAGGCCTCATTCGCACCAGAACGCGTCCCGTGCTTCAAACAAATATGCAATCTGCAGATTTGCCTAGCTTGTCTCGCGCTATTCTCTGCCAACGTGTGATAGCAAAAAGACCTCTTGACGCCTTGGTCTCCCAACGGCCATGATTGAAACAAAAACATTGACTTGAAGGAGACAAGGATTCGCCAGCGCTAGTAAGTAGGTTGGAGCCCATCGCTCTTGGGGTGGAGGCCATCGCTATATTCCTATCGACGGCTCAGACCCGACACAAAGACAAACTGTGTCTGGAGGGACTGAAATCCCGCTTCTGCACAGCCGTGCTACGACAAAGGCAGTGTTCCAGGCCAAAATGAATAGGTGTATTGCTTAGTCTGTTGCGACAGCTCCCAGTCAATGGGTCATTTTTGCAGCGAAACTTGTACAATGGCCCTTGAGAACAACTGGTTAGCAACTCGAGTGCCGCATGAGCAGCATCGAGCCAGGCAAAAGGCATGTCAAACGCTGACGAAGTTGCAAACTTGCTATGCCTCCGTTCTCCCCTATACCTCGATCAACGGGGAGAAACATTTGGAGTTAGGAGTTAGTGGTGTGGTCAATTTAGCTGTTTTTTGTTTTTTCTCAAGCTACAGTATTTGCGACCATTTGCAAGAGTTGCTATAGCTGCATCGGATGTTACCAGCCTGTAGCTGTTACTAATCTTTGCAAAAAGGCCATGGTGTTTTTGGTTCTTTGCCATTTTTATCCAACGGTGTGTTTCATGAGTTTCAGGTGCCCGCATGTGTCTCCAAGGAATTTCGTTCATGAGACAAGGACCACAATACTGGAGAATGCTTGTTGATTGATTTACAAGATCTGAGCTCAGTTTGAAGAGAGCTTGAGCTGGTGGTTCCATAAGAACATATAAGAACCGAAGTGTCACGGGGTCCTGTGGGTAGCTGCATCCAAATCCCGAACAGTTCGCTTGAAAGGCGGAACGACTGCGAGAACAAATCGGAGCGCAAAGCCGGACGGCGCCAATTTCGACACTACTTATTCTAATTATTGTTTCTAATAGCTTCTTGTTACTAGAAGTAAGGCACCTCTTACTACTAGCGATGCACTTGTTACTGAGTGGAAGCGTTGCTCAAAGAGTTGCTTCACTAAGCCTGGTCTAATCACTCAAAGCCTTGTGATGTGTGTCCTTACATGACAGGACTCCAGGACTGACTCATGCTTGAAAGGCAATGGGAAGTTGAAGTCGCTGTACGGATGAGCAATTCTCGACGTATCAGCGACTTCGTCGAGAGCTCCAACTTGCTTCTCGTCACAACGAAGCACTGCCGAGTGGCCCAACTGAAACTCCGAACTCTCACTCTCTGACGCTAACTTCCAAAGAAACTCCCAATACTCCGAATAACATACTTAAAAGAGGCTTATTGAATTGTATCAACTTGAACACAATTCCATGCCTTTTATCGTTCTTATCAACGGCTGAGGTAGACCTGACTGATTCCGGACGCTCGCTTTTTGCGAAATGGCCGTGCTGGTTTTTACCTCACAAGTCAGGTGTAATGCTCCTGCGGGCAAACCCTGCTCGCAGCTCAAGGGGGATTTTGTAGACTGGGTGTATTTTGAGAGTGTGTTCAGAAAGTGTTGATAGAAGAGACTGAGAACTTGCGCTTACATTTTCTTACACTCACACCAATCTGATTTTGAGCTCGCCCCTGTGCCTATCTTGCGCAGTTTAGCTCCCAGTTTGATCCGTAGGCAAAGGGACTTTTTAGCACTTTTTGAGACGTTACTTCCGAACAAATCCATGTTTGACCACTTCAGTTCTGAGACTTACGTGGATGGCTTATGACCCACGTGCTTGTTTGTGGACACTCAGTCAACATGTCAACCCATGGAAACACAGCTATCAACTATCGTTGAAGATCACTTTTCCGCACTCAAACTCATTTCCAACTCGTGCAACATCATCTCATATTCGCTGCCTCCGGAGCAATCTGAGTCATGAACTCAGCTTGCACACAAACACTGCTCGCTGCCGTCCATCTGGTCCATATCGAACTTGACAAGCAGAAGTCGGGTGACGAGCATCTCCGCAACAAGCCGGTCAAGCGCAACTGTGGCCAACATGGCTCGTGGGACAACGACTATGGATGGAACACTGCGGCAAATACAACCCGTTCGGTTCGAACTTTAGACACAAGATTACACAACCAAGAAGGTTTGAACTGACCTAGCCAGGAGTTTCAGCTGCTGGCAATCAACAAATAACCATAACGAAAAAGCAAAAGCAACCTGATGTTGTCTAATTTTTCTAATGCTATCCTTCTCCATGCTGTATGTGAATGTGGTTCCTTTGGCATCTGCAAGGGACTTTCTTATAGAAATACGCTCTTCTTGTGTTGATTCCGTTGCTTGATAGCAGCGTCATTAATCAGTGGAGTAAAGGAAACAAGTCCGAAAGCATATCGGTTAACGTCGAAGCCTTTGCGATCAAGATCACCCCAGAACTTCTGGAGTTGTTTGTTAAATGAACACCATTGCTAAATTGTAACAACATGGTTCGCGACACGGCCACTAAGTCTGTGCAGATTCAACTCTCTTCGGAAGAAACGCTGTTGAACTACAGGACAGCTAAAATTCTACAGACCCCTCAAGTCTGCGATGGTATTCCAAGCCAAAGGAACATTGTCAAAGATCATATGGCACAATCTCAGGACAATGATTCTTCAAAGAGAAGAGGAAGTACAAAAGAAGGGTCTAAAGGCTAAAGGTCTAAAGAAACAAAATAACAACAAAACCAAAGTCACAAAAGAAAAGGGCTATCTTCGGGATGTTTTCGCCGCACGCGCCAACGGCAGCTTGTGCCATGGAGAGGATGACCTGGCCTTGAACAATGTTGAGACTGGGGAACTTGTGGGAACCCCGGAGACCGGAATGAACAACTTGGAAGCCCAAAACGAAAGGATAAAGATCTCGAGACAAGTCTCGCTCAACACCCGGTTAGCACCGTTCAGCAGCGCATGCCTCAGATCCATCTGACTCATCTGACAGATCCGAAACTTGGCACATCCAGCAATTTCTTGTCACCAGCTCACTGGCCTTTCTTGAGAAAACACTGAAGGCCGGACCTGCTTCGCCAAATCCTGCCGCTTCCCGCTGCTGGGGATGGCCTCAGCCGAGTTCTTTGTGACCCGTCATCGAAATCTCGGCCTTTTGCAGCTAGAATCATGCCGAACAGAAGCTACTAGTAACAAGGGCATCGCTACTCGTGACAAGGGCATTACTACTGGTAGCAAGAACGCTACTAGGGGCTCCTGGCATTACTACTAGTAGCAAGAAGCTACTAGTAACAAAATGTAATTACAGTAGTCTAGTTTACAGGCCAAGTCATCTGTGCCACAGTGCCGGTATTTACCACCGCAGGTATGTTTTAGACAAACACTCTTTTTCCAACATGCAAAAGCAGTCCGCTCTTCAAGATTGCTGAGCGCCAAGCTGCCAGACTGCCTGCTCCTCCATGATCTCCAGTTGAGACACGAGCTCTGAGCAATTTCTCGCAACTAAACTTCTTTGCATCAAACCGCCGCCAGCTGTCCAAAGCCTGAGCGACTTTGAGTCATCTTTGCATCAACACTGGCCACGGAACAACTTTGCTAGTCTCTCCGAAAATTAGATGGTTGTTCAGGTCCTAAAAGTGACCAGCCATTGCAGCTCCAAAGCCTCTTGACCAACAAGTTCGAATTAGCTACTGCAAGCATTGCTCGCAAATGACCTCAACAAAATCGATGCGCTTCCAACATTCCGCGTGTCTTACCCGATTTCTCCTCTACCAGAAAAGAAAAACACTTTAACTTGTCTTTAACAAGGCAGGTCTCAGTATCAGGAAAAGCTCATACCCACACGTCTCTCTGGGTCCAATTCCAACCTCTGATAACCTCTGTAGTCATGTAGTCAGTGTAGTTACGTTCTCTCATGCAACGATGCCTCATGGACTTCCACCCATTCAGCTGCTGCAATGGATCTCTGTGTCATCCTCCGGGAGTAGTGGATATGGATAGGGCAACAAAATCTTTCGGAGCCACCTGAGGCAAGCTTGCAGCAAGCAGCTGCTTTTACTGCCCAATACACACCCGCATCCATCCAGCACGGATTGAACACTGATCTGTACCCCGCGGAGACTTGATATCACCATCTCGCACGGTCGACCCTTCACAGCTTGCAGCCTCACCTACTTAGTCTGCAAACATGGTCCTACACAAACAAGTGAATCGTCCGAGCAAAAGATCCAAGTAGCGTCCTTGTTACTACTAGTAAGGCACTTGTTGCTAGAAGCGATGCACTTGTTCCTAGTAGCTTCTTGTTCCTAGTAGCGATGCCATTTGCTCCGTTCGTAGCGTCCTCTGTCGCACACCCAAGGCACCACGGAGGTGGCAAGAACAAAGTCAGGTCGTCCGTCGCGCACGGGACATCCGACAGGTTCTCTTCATCCTTCGTGCAGCTGCCGTTGGGCCAAAAGTGTAGCTGGACACCTCGATTCTTGTTGCTGACAACATATGGTACAGAACCTATGGCTACGTCAGTTGCTACATCAGCTTGGTCCATTTCCCACAAAAAACGCATAGAAAGCATTATACGAGAGGCAACTTAGCAAGGGGTAGTTGAGCTTAGGGCCTTTGTAACCTTTGTTCTTACATCAAATCATGGTAAGGGTCATGGTCCCAAACGTTCGGAGTGCAACTTCTGCAACTACTAGTAGCGTCCTTGTTCCTAGTAATGCACTTAGCTACTAGTAGCGTTCTTGCTACTCCTTGGAGTCTCTGGAGTTTGGCAACTGTAGGTCGGTCCGTTGCTTTGACCGAATGGGGCTGAGCACCCAGGTGGTCCACGCCTTGGAAGTCTCTCCACTCCTTGGGTGTCCGCAGCCTCTGCGGCAGCCGCACCACGCGCACCGAGCTGGAAGGGTCGGAGTCAGCGGAGTCGGAGCGGGCGGAGCGGGCCAGTGCTCGGCGGAGCTCAAAGGCGGGCATCACCACGGGATGATGGACGTGAAGCGATTGGACGCCAGCGACCTGAGCCAATTGATCAGTTCCTGGAAACACCAATATCCTAGTAACAAGTGCCTCGCTAGTAGTAACAAGAAGCTATTAACTTAATTCTAATAGCTTTTTGTTACTACTAGTAAGGCACTTGTTACTAGAAGCGATGCACTTGTTCCAAATAACTAATCAACACCACACTAGTCATAACTCTTCAATACCTGACTGTTGGACTTTAACATTATCCATTCCATGCAAAGCTCTGGATGAAGATGGTGACACGGTGGCCTTCAACGAATCCATCCTTGCATAGTAGGCTGCAAATTGTCGGCCACTGTGCCCGTTCGCCGTCAGCAGCTGCACCGCCCTTGGCGGCTCCACGTCGCTCCAAGCGTTGCGTCGCAGGTCGTCCACGCCACCGAAGTCATCGACGCGGACGAGGCCGCCACCGAAGGCGTCGAAGGGCGACGAAGCTGTCGAAGAATCCCCAAACCAGTCCTGAAAGGCAAACACATAAGAGAATTGGAACAAGAATCGCAGAATGTTGGGAAACTTCGACGTGGATGACAATAACTTCCGTGCAAACTTCCTTGAAACTCACCCTATCTCAGCATCCATCGGCCATGTCAAATGCTACACGCTTGAAGATCTCGTTATGTATCTCAGCCGAAACGTGTTGGTCTCAATAAACGAGATATATAAATCTACCAATGATACGAATGCATCAAGTCTCTTGCAACAGCCCTGTGGGGACGATGAGGTGGTTGGATCCGCCATAGTGCTTTAGATTCGCATACCTTGCATCTTCGAGAGCAAACGAGTCCAATCAAAGAGGGCCATACGATGCCCTTTGCTCCTAATAGCAAAAGGAACCCAATAGCGATGCCCTTGTTACTACTAGCTTCTTGCTCCCAGTAGTAGGCCAGGAGCCCCTAGTAGCGTCCTTGCTCCTAGTAGCGATGCCCTTTGCTCCTAATAGCAAAAGGAACCTAATAGCAATGGCCTCCAACCGAATAGCAGCATGGGACATGGAAGTGCTTATGTGACCTATGTGTCCAAGCACGCCTGGTAGGTCTTTTTGATCGTAAATTCACTCTTTGCAGTTTAGCACTGTTCACAATTCTGTCGGCCAGTTTTCGTTCCTGTCTTTGCCTGGTAGACTGAAGGAATCTCCAACGGCATTTCACAAGCCAACGTACTGTTTGCTTGACAAAAATTGGACTTCAACCTGCACGGATGTGAAGTGCACATGTCATTTGGGAAGCTTCATGAACGTGCTCACTTCTTGCAGCCCTTGCAATTCAGGTCGCATGGAGCACGAGGCCATGTGCTGAAGTCCAAGCACTGGCAGCACAAAAGCATAGAGGAAGCTTGCGCAAAGCACGACGCGTTGCAAGCTCCCAAGAGTCTCCTTCCATCTGCGTCAAAATGCCACAAACTAGGAACAAGGACGCTACTAGGAGCAAAGGGCATCGCTACTAGGAGCAAGGACGCTACTAGGGGCTCCTGGCCTTACTACTAGGAGCAAGAAGCTAGTAGGAGCAAAGGTCAACGCTCTTAGGTTGGAGGCCATTGCTATTAGGGTGGAGGCCATCGCTACTGCGGTGGGCCATTCCGGAAGAAGGTCCAGATTCGATTGACAAAAGCTCGAATGTCTTTACGTTGGAACGCTTGATTCATTCGCATCCAAACTTTGCCTTTTGTATCACATTAGACGTCCATAGTCCATAGTCCTTCCAAGCCTTTCACTCATGTCCTATGGCTGTGCAACTCAAAGCAGCTCTTTTAGGACCCCAAACAAGTGACGAGTTGTCCATGAAACACAATCTAACATTCCGGTACTTGACCCTACAATCGTGAGTTGCCACCCAAAAAACTCTTCAGGTCTTTGCCGGTGTCCTTGGCCGTGGTCTGCACCTCGGAAACGCCCTGCAGGGTCATTGCAAGCAAGGCACCAAAGGCACCAAAGGCGCAGCCTCGCTGGGCCCGTCCCTTCGTCCCTGTTATCTTCGCACTTATTCGATTCTGGACGTTTTCTGGACCGCCAAGCCGATGGAAACCATAACATCCGCAATCTTACAGAGAAGGTGGTCCAATTGCAAGACGAAGGTGGGCTAAATGAACAAAGTTTTGTGCGTCCGTTCCCCAGAATTTTCAGGAAGCTACTAGTAGCAAGGTGCCTTACTAGTAACAAGGTGCCTTGCTACTAGTAACAAGAAGCTACTAGGAACAAGTGCATCGCTACTAGTAACAAGTGCCTTACTAGTAGTAACAAGAAGCTACTGGGAACAAGTGCCACGCTACTAGTAGCTTCCTTCCTCTTGAGCGCCGTCCACTCCCCAAACTTCTCACTCCTGTTCGAGCTGAGCGTCTGGGGACCAATGCTGCAAAAACAGCACAAGTCAGTACTACCAAGGGATTGAGCAGCGAGCAGCGTGCAGCAGCCTGACAGGGGTTTGTGAGTCCATAAGTCATGGCAGCCACTGTGTTCACAGCACGCCTGAACTATCACCGCCCAAACAAATCCTTTGCTTATTTGTCCTCCCGAAGCGGTCATCAAACAATGACCATGATGCTGACACAGGAAAGCCAAGCTCCTTTTTTTTTGTGACATATTCAGTTGAGCACTCCTTTGTTTGAAGCCTTTACTAGGGACATCTAGGGACTACATCATGTTGGTCCTCCCCCTCCTCCACCCTCATCCTCTTTTGGGCCTCCAATGGCAACAGTAGCAACAAACGTGCTGCGCAGCAAACAGAGAAGCCACCAGCAAAGTTGGGCGCCGGAGCCAAAAGCACAAGCAGGTGGAAGGCTGAAGCAGTCACAACCTCAGCATGCTTGGCATATTTTGGCATGTTGGCCATCGCAATTGCTAGCAAGGACGCTACTAGTAGCTCCTGGCATCACTACTAGCAACAAGAAGCTACTAGGTTTGAGGCCATAGCTTCTAGGCTATATAGAGGCCGTCGCTATTAGGCTACCAGCGTGTCGGCACCCCGAAGAGGCAATCGAGAAAATCTACACCCTCGGCCCTCAGCACAAAAGAAGCTACTAGGAACAAGTGCATCGCTTCTAGTAACAAGTGCCTCGCTAGTAGTAACAAGTGCCTTACTAGTAGTAACAATGTTTGCTATTAATTTAAATCTAAATTAATTCCAATAGCTTTTTGTTACTACTAGTAAGGCACTTGTTACTCTGATTGTTGCGTTCGTCGGTGCCAACGGGAGGGGAACTAAGAGCATTCCAGTGGGAACTCCTTTCTACCCGCCATTTTGTAACAAATATGTCAAGCAGGTAGCTCGGTCTGCAAGATGCGGCATGAGTCCCTGCTTTTTCCATCCGCCCTCTCCGCCACCTAGGAGCCCAGCTCCCAACCCTTCTCTCAGCCATGAGAAACCCCCAGTGCTGGTCTCACCAACAGCAGCACGGCGATGATGGCTTCACCAGCTAGGCCCATGATGGGAGCCAGCCTGGATAGCGTGGGCGAAGGTTGGAGGCCATCGCTTCTGCCTCCATCGCTAGTAAAAACAAAGAAACAGAAAAGGAAGAAAGAAAAGATTAAATCGTCTGCGTTCCTAAGGAGGGAGATCCCAATCGGGAAGATTGACATGCTGGCTTGAGGCAGGCCCCCAGAGTTGGTGCTTGCGACTGAACCCGTGAGCCTCACAATCAGCGGAGCTAGCTGAAGGGCTAGCTCGTGGGGTGCATAAGCGCTGAGCAGCTGGGTCAAAATCACCTGAGGTGCCGCTGTCGGCCAGGGGCTGAAACTCTGCACGCACAGTCGCCGTGGTGTTTTGGATGTTGTTGAAACAATGAAGCTAGTAGAAACAAGTGCATCGCTTCTAGTAACAAGTGCCTTACTAGTAGTAACAAGAAGCTAGTAGAAACGACGTCATGAGGGGATGTACGTTCCAGACATAGTTGGCTTAGGACAACAAGAGCTATGTCTATCATTGCACACACATATTACTTGGATGAAGAAGACGTCAGTTAGCAAATAGGAAGCTACTAGGAACAAGTGCATCGCTTCTAGTAACAAGTGCCTCGCTAGTAGTAACAAGTGCCTTACTAGTAGTAACAATATTTGCTATTAATTTAAATCTAAATTAATTCTAATAGCGAACATTGTTACTACTAGTAAGGCACCTGTTACTACTAGCGTGGCACTTGTTACTAATAGCTTTTTGTTCAGTGGCTGTGCTGCAAGAGGTCCGTGGATCCAAGAAGGACGTGTTGAGCTTCCACCAGGCAGCACTCGCCTTGGCTGTGAGGCACAACGAGCTAGACTTAGTGATCAACCTATCGACCTATGAAAAGTTGTTCCTAGTAGCGATGCCAGGAGCCCCTAGTAGCATTCTTGCTCCTAGTAGCGATGCCCTTTGCTCCGAATGTAGCGTCCTTGCTCCATGGACGGTATGGAACGTACCCTTTGTCATGAATGGTTCATCCATGGGAGCACAGGGGTGTAGAGACTTTTGGGCTTGTCTTGACCTGCTGTTTGGGGTGACATTTTTCGAACGAATCTGTCCAGTTACAGGGTGTCATTTGGAAGGTCCCCTCGCTTCTCGCTTTCGCTTCGTCGATCATCACAGTTCAGTTCTCGGTTCAGTGCATCTCTCTTTGCCCACATCTTTCTCATTCCCAATAACTGTGAAATCTCTTCTTCGTCACTGAGTGTCGTAGAGAAGCAACAGCTGTCCTCGGCAAAGCTGCCAAAAGCTTCGGAAGTTCTTCTCCTCCCCCCAGAAAAGAAAGCTCAGCTCAGTCAGCGCTGCCCAACACTCGTGGTCCTTGGAGAAACGGTGCAGTGGAGTGGCCCAGCTGGTGAAGACCTGGGCATCCCTGGGCTTTGGTCTTCAGCTCTGCACAGCTAGGTCTCAAAATGTTGGCAAATCAGCCATCCGGATGCAGGAGGTGTACGGGAGACAGCCTAATTAGGTTGGACTGCCGTTAGATCCGGTTCGGTTTCAGCTTGCAGCCAAACAACAACTCATGGCTTTTGGACCATCTTGGAGCTGCTTTGTCAACTCATCTTGGATCAGTTCGCGTATTCCTTTTCAGGGCCAGGGAAGGTCACCTTGATCACATGGGGGTGATATCCCACAGACTGACGACTGAAGAAGGCTTCAATACATTCGAGCAGCCCAAACCAGCGGCATGCGGTAAGCAAACATCATTAACCTCAGAAGTTTGGGACATCGAGCACTGGAGGCCATCGCTACTAGGGTCGAGGCCATTGCTAGTAGGTTGAAGGCCATTGCTCTTAGGTTGGAGGCCATCACTAGACCCGCGAATATCCGGCCTTCAAGGTATACAGTTCACATCCTTTCGTGGCGTCACAATTATGCAGCTGGATTAGAAGATAGAAGTGTGTGGAAAGACAACAACCGTTATCAGTTATTGTATACTGATCGTGTGACATAGTGACCTTGCCCTTTCCATGGATTTCTCCATGTTCAATCACCTAAGCAAGTTGGCGTGTCACAACTTGGAGGGGATGACTTGGAGCTCCCGGAAATCACAATGCTTCACTGCAACGAACATGGGTACGTCAGAAACATGAGCACTCTTTGCTAGTAGCGTATCTCCCTTGTAGTGTGGCGGGGCCTCGGGCTAAAAAGAAAAGGCACATTCTTCAACGAAGAGGATGAATGAACATCCGTGGTTCCATATGCCTTGGAGCAAAGCCCATGGATCTGCATGCATCTACCATGCCATTGTTGTGTACCAGTGCCCGGTCCACCCTGTCTGTTGGGGTCACTGAGACAGCCCCTGCTTGCCAGGCGCTTTACTGCATGCGCCACCCGCAAGCATCCAGCAGACCAGCCGTACTCCAGCACCAGTGTTCCAGCCAGTGCCAACGGAAGCAAACACACCTCAGGAAGAATGTGGTTACGAATAGGAAACCAAAACCAAACGATTGGTGATTCGCCGGAATGTCTGTTCAACCATTTCAAGTGGGGCATCGATCAAGCCTAACCTGTCTTTTGCATGGTCGAAGCGAACGCCTACATACCCACATACCTCACAGGCGCACCGATGCAGCCCTTGCAGTTTGGAGGGTTCAGAAGAACACAATCAGGTTCAAGCCACACTTTCAGAACAACGACACAAAGCCACAGTCCTGAACACGCTTGCTTAATTACCCAAATCCCAAATCTTAAACATCCGGTTGTTTGAAATCTTCTTGCCTTAGAGCTCTTTGGTCTCGTCACTTTTGCACACGTAAAGCTCCTAGTAACAAGAAGCTACTAGGGGCTCCTGGCATCGCTACTAGGAACAAGAGGACGCTACTAGGGGCTCCTGGCCGCACTACTAGGAGCAAGTAGCTACTAGGAACCTGGGCATCGCTACTAGTAGCATTCTTACTACTAGGAGCAAGGACGCTATACCTAGGAAGCTATTAGTAACAGGTGCATCGCTACTAGTAACAAGTGCATCGCTACTAGGAACAGGTGCCTTACAAGGAACAAGTGCATCGCTAGTAGGAGCTTTTTCGCGCCAAGGCACATCGCCCAGTCCCAAGGGCCGGGAATCCACTGCTCCCTGCCCTCCGAGGAAGGCATCGATGGCGGGAACCCAAACGTAAAGACACCAAGCCTGCACTTTGCATCGTTTCTTTTCCGAACAAAACCGCCAGAACTGGCCTGGCGGTTAACATGGCCAGCTAAAGTCAGAGCAGCATGGGTTGAATCAATCTCCATCTCATAGGTGTGGATCGGTTAACAGTAAATTGCACTTGGGCTGGTCATGCTTCCGAGCAAAAGCTGTTGAAAAGGGACATCCAAAGTGTCGAAACAAAATCATCGGCGATTTTTTCCATGTTCAACCAACCTAGGAGCAAGGACGCTACTAGGCGCTCCTGGCCTTACTACTAGGAG